TATATATATATATATATTATATATATATATATATATATATATATATATATATATTAGTATTGATTTCACAATTGGCCTCTACTGTTCTAGTTGTCAGTCACAATTTTTTTATTCATTTTCTGTCTTGTAACTTCTTTGCACAGGGAGTCTCTATTACTAAGATCGCCATTGTCAAGAAATATGCTCTGTAAGGTATTGGAGTTTCTTATAGCCTTTGCCAAATGATGCTCTAGAAATCTGATTAATTTTCACTTCCTTGAACATTTCACTCTATTAGTGTAGTTTATTTGAAATTAAAGTAGCCTTGGAAAATTTACAAAAGGATTATGAAGGGTTTGAAATCAACTAGACTGAATCGGAAACTAGAAGAAAAACATGGAACTACCTCATCCTACTCTCCAATTGAGCGGGGAAAAAGAAAGGAAAATACAAAGGAGACAATTACTTCCATAGGTGATAAATGTCATGAAAAACTCTAATTATGTGATTTGGTAATAGATTTAGTGTGGATTATAATTCATGCAAATCCTGTGAGCTTTTGATGTTCCATTGTGATATAGGCAGAATGCAGAGTTATATACAAGATTGTGTTATTTCTTCTTATTTCGAAAATCTCTGGCGAAAATTTGTAAATAGGCAGCCTGCCCTCTTCCACAATTGCATAGTATAGAAAATGATAAGGAAAAATGATCAAAGGACAAGGGTCATGAGGACCTTATCCATTTTCAATATGTACATACAATTCCATATACATTTGACCATATTTTTGAACTGCTATTCACGTTTTGCATTTATGCAGGTAAATAAAAGGATAGTTTAGCAGTTTAGGCCATCTTTTGTTGCGTGTACAAGTTATGAATTGCGAGAACGTTGTGGATGGCTTGGCTACTTGCTTTCTCCAGCCATAACAGAATCACAATATGAACCTGTAAAGTCTATAGTACTTAAAAAACTGTGGTAATGCAAAAGTTGTATTGTATGGTATAGGAACTCCATGCATGATCATCAGCTACTCTCTTATGTGGCTGAAGCTTTTAAGTTTTTACTTTAATGGGAGAAACCCTCTTTTACTGGTTTCCCCTCTACTTTGTATTTCAGATGTTGTAAGTGAGAACAGATAATTTATGTATATATATCTACATATTATATATATATATATATGCGCGTGTATTGTAGCACTTTGTGAGTGAAGGGCCATAGTTTTAAACACATTAATTATACCAAATCCATCTTTCTAGAAACCGAGACGTGGAATAAAAGAAGTACATTTGATTCCATTAACTTTTGAGAAGACATGGTATGTTGTTATAAGGACGCCACAAAGTTTTCAAAGTTTTGAACTTGAAAATTGGTGTGATGCTTTTCCTTTTTTCACATGATTAAGTGGTAGATTCTTGGGTACTGTTGGAGCACATTGATGGGTAATAGACATTGCAGTACTGGGAATAATAAAGTGGTAGTGAAAAGAATGATATAGGTTGGTGAATGATGTGTGTAGTCCATGGAAGCCAAGAAAATGCCACGCAGTGCTACAAGTTAAAACACCCTTAAGATGGAGCTCGGTCCACTACCTAGGAAGCATATTTATGTAGTAACATGTTGCAACACTTCGCTTACAAACGTGTCCATTCATCTTCATTTCTCTTCCAAATTATTTCTGCATATCCATGGTGGGACACGACATCTACCGCTCCTTCTCTCTCCTCTTTTAAGGATTTTTTTTTGTTCTGTGTTTCGTGCAATGTTAAAATGTGCATTAAATAAGTGCGATAGAATTCGAACAATCAACTTTATCAAATGAGATATCAGTTATAATTGGACTATAAAATGTTTTCATTAAATAATTTTTAATTTTGATGTAAAATAGTTAAAAAAAACGCTTATATTTAGAAGAAAATATCAAGGTGAAATTGAATTAAGACACTTTGTTTGAACTCATTCTAGGTCATACTTTGTCCTAATAATACAGTTTTTAATAGTTTATTACTGACATACAGTTTTTAATTTGGTAGGATTTCGAAGTACCCTAACCATGTTTAAGAATAATTCACGATAACTAACATATTTCCTTGTTATGGTGTTGGAATTTCAATAACTTCAAAGTTGGATTAATTTATGATTGGGAAAACCTTAACCTAACCCAAATTAACTCGTTCCTGGGTTGAGTGATAGATTTAGTATAAATGATCTTATACTCAATTCAATGTTTATTCTTATATTTGTATTATGAATAATTATGTTTTTTTTTTCTTTCATGTTTTGAATTAGTTTGAATAAGGGTGTTCCAACTTGATTTATTGATTTACTTAAAGTATTATTTTTTTAGAGATGGTTCTTTTTAAATGTTATAGTACTTAAAAATTATAACTTTTAATAAAAGAGATTTTCAGAATTTAAAATTACAGAAACTTAATCTAAGTCAAGCAGATATTTTTTAACTGAGTTGGATATTGGGTTTAAATACATCCTACCTAACCCAACCCAACTCATGAACATCCCTACGCCGAATTAGTTTTTTTTTTTCAAGTAAAGAAAATTCTAGAGGTTTTAATAAAGAAGAATAGAAAAAAAATATATATTTTTGTTAAAGTTGCTCCAACAGATATTAGCTCATCAATTTTAAAAATTAAATTTATCTTATTATTCGCATACGTGATATTACATTGTAAATTTTTAAAAAATAATTATCTACAATCAATGTTAACTTTTAGCTTTTAATTTATAGTTTTTGAATAAGTTTGATACTAATTTTATATAAGTAAAAGGGGACAGAAAAAATGAAGAAATATTTTTATTCACAATTATTTTTGTTCTAAGATGATGATAAGAATTAAGAGAATATACTATAAATTTGTCTTAGCACCAAGTGGAGGTAGAAAAATATCAATCAAGTCCAGTTTGGGTAGATTAAAATGAAAGGAGTGTGGGTAGAGCTTTAATAAAGATGTCAACTAGTTTATAAAAGGAGGAGACGGGTAGTGATCACATTAAATTCACTTGAGATGTTTCACAAATTAGATGGTAGTTAATATCAAAATGTTTGGTGCGTTCATGAAATAATCTTATTAGTAGCAATGCAAAAAACACTTAGGTTGTCACTAAATAGAATTGCAGGCTTGGAACAAGTGACTTTAAGATCATGGAGAATTGAGAAACGTGAATCATTACAATTTCCTAATCAACACTTAAACCAAATATTTGGAGAGGAGAATTTTTGGGAAAAATAAGGCTCTTGCCTGGACAACATTGGAGATAACGTAGAACCTGCACGACAACATTTTAATGTCTAGATGAGTATTTGTGAAATATAACAATCGTCCAATCAATTGATAGGATAGAAGATCTATTAACAATGGGCTAGAATCATGATGGAAATATAACTATCCATTGATGTCAAGAAATGTTTGCAGCTTAGCATGCCAGCATCGGTGAGACAATATTTGTGCTGAAATAAATAGTTTCTAGTTTTTTAATGAGCCACTTCTAGTCCCAAGAAGTATTTTAAGACGTCAAGATCTTTAAGGTAAAAATTGGATTGAATAATATGCTTGATGTGAGAAATTTTAGTGGCTAACATCTTCAATGAGATCCTTATGAAAGAAAGCATTGCTGACATCTAATCTAATCTAATGGTCGAAGTTGCTAATGATTAATAGAGGCAAGAGCTAGAATAAAACCAATGGTTACCATTTTTTCCATAGGGAAAAAAGGTTTCAAAGTAATCAAGTCTTTTAATTTGGGAAAAACCATGGACATAGATGCGCTTTGTAGCATTCAACGATAATCAATGGGTGTGACATTTGGAGGTCTGTCCATAATATCCCATTTTTTTAATTCAAGATCAAGGTTTCAATTTCAGCATTCAAGACTTCAATCCAACAAGGATGAGAAGTTGCCTCATGATAAATACAAGGCTCACGCTCAAAAGAAAGACTCATTAAACAGTGATGATGGGACTCAAAGATATGATAGTAATTCATAATGGACTACATTTGATTGATATTTTCTAAATATCTGACTCCACTATATTTTCTCTCAAACATGAGATTTATCGATCAAATAAGACAATTTTTGTTCAAACTACTTTTCTTGTTCTTGTTTATTCTTTGTTCCTTTACTTGATAATTATGAATGTTAATTATGCATGTAAATAAAATATTGATTGCATGTATATGTGATGAGTTTCATATAAAGAATTATATATATATATATATATATATATATATATATGTAAAATTATTTTTCGGGAACAAAAATACTATATTGAGATATTTAGATTGTTTATTGAATTAAGATTCGTGAATGAGATATCTGACATATATTAGAATCATATATAGAGAAAAATATTACGATAGCCAAAGGAGGTTTCTATGACCTACTCAGTGACATGATAAGTTATAAAGACTTGGCACATGAGTGAAAATATATTTTTATTATGTAACTTTGCTGACAATTTATTAAAAGTAATAAAACAAATGAAGATGTTTGAGTCTAATTTAACACATTTGTCACCATAATTTATGTAAGTATTGTAACACAAAAATATGAGATAATAGATTAATACTTATTACTTGATCTTAATGTTAATTAAATAATGAATTGAAAATGATGTTATATATAATGTGTATATGATTTAGTATATACATGAATAAAACTTTAAAGAAACTTAACTTTTCTAATTTTTGTGTGGTTGTAATTATCAATTATGATTTTGTATAATGACAATCTCAACATAAATGAGTTGAAAATATAGATCTAAAAATAGAAAAATTATTTTAAATATTTTAAAAAATCAAAATATTATATAAATGTTGTCTTAGTTAGAAGATTAATTATAACGTAACTGTTAATGGATATTACAGGAAAGATTTTTGGTGTAGGATCAGTTTTCGGACTAAAAGAAATTTGGGTTTGAATTTCTTAATTCAAATTGCTTAAAGAAGGAGCGTACCAGTGATAAAAAAAATATCTGCTTAATAAAGTAAATAAACCATCACGCAAAACGAAACACATAAAGTAAATATTTTATTCATGCATTGAGCTGCTAGGTCTTATTCAATTGGAAGTTACAAATACAATACAACAAACATGGAGTGTAGTCACATTTGTAGCAGCTGATAGCCATATATATAGTGTATTTCCGCCTTCTCTCATCTTTCATTTCCGTAACAACCTTCACTCTTTCAAGGCAGTGTGTAAGCTGCAAAAGTCACATAGCTAGTTAGAAAATAATCTGCCAAAAATAATGAAGAGAAATCATAGCAATATGTTCTAATAACCACTCTTTTATAGTTTAGTAGTATTTTTTAGCTCAGTTTTAACGATAAAGTATTATTACACAGATACTTGTAATTGTTCTGAGTACTGTAACTTGAGTTGTGAGTCGATTGATAAAATGAAACTTACGTCCGCACTTGTAACCAACAGGGCGATTAGCGAGGTTGCAACGCTTTGGGATGGTGACAGCAATCTGAGGGTTGACTCCAGCCATTTTAGCTGTGTTTGATAGCAGAACTGCACACAGGCAGCTAGGATTCTGCCCTATTTTCTTCACCTGTGCACAGCAACTCTGAGATACACTAGCATTCTCATCTTGTGCTGCTGAACCACATGGAGCAAGCTTAATAGCCTCATTATCTGGGCTAGTAGATTTTCCACATTCCCCAGCACTATCCACCTTTGCAATACTCACAAGCACCACAAACCCAACAAGGCATGCAAACTTCACAACACCCTCCATTGATATTCTCTATTTCACACTGTCCATCAACCCTTCCATCTCATCGGCTTTTATAGCCCAACATCATCCAAAAAAGTGTTTGCTCTGTCATCATCCTCTGGTTAATGGAGCTTGCACTAGGACATGGGAGACTCTCTTATTGAAGCACTTAGGAACAAAAAGCAGGTGTAAACACCATTTTCCTCCACCCACAAACCAAATTCTTTTTGTTTTTCTTGTTTTCAGATGTAGCCATTATCCAGTGTGTGCAAATCAATACCAGTGTTTGATGCCACCTCATCCTCAATCAATTGCCCAACCAATATACTTTATGGAAACCTGTCACCAACTTTATCTCAACTACCACCGCCCCCTAATACTACACTCTATTCTTGGACTAACATAACAAACCAAAATATACACTCATCTTGTTTCTACCTTAAAGTATATAAACTATTAGAGCTATGATTATTAATATATATTAAATAATTACATAGTTGAGTAAAGTAGGTGAGTGTTTATATAAAAACTTTTATATTTGTTCAATTTTTTATACCCTTTAATCAAAAGAAATCCATTTAAGAAAAGTTATGATAGTATTGTTTAAACTATTAGAGGTATGATGTATCTATGCTAAAAGTATGATTCAATTAGTTAGTTAAATATAAATTTTCAATTTTAACATTCTACCACTGATAAAATAAAACTTTTTAAAATTAATAAATAAAATAATTATCTTAACAAATAAATATATATTATTAATATAGTTTTTAAGCTAAATAACCATAATAGCAACATATATTTAAGATTACTAAGAAAAGTTACTACATGACCACAAAAGAAATTTTGTTACATTATCAGTTTCTTTCAGACATGGTTCAACACCTATCCCTCATTTACTCGCACCAATAAAGTGATTATCATAACAAAAAAACACAAAGACACAAGGAAACACCAAAAGAAAATGACAAGGTAAGCTAATGTTTTCTAAAACAATTAAATATATAATATCTAAGCTAAACATTTATAAAATATAATAACTCATATGACAAACATAACCAATTGACATTAGACTCAATTATCTGGATGCATGTTTTTTACATTGGGTTTCATTATAGGCGTACACTTGTAGTATTATTTATGCTCTGTAGAGTCCTAAACAAAGAGGTTATAACCCTACTACTCACAAGGTTAATCCTCTTCATGCTTAAGACCTAAGCAATGTTCATAGACGAGGACCTCCTACAAGTATCACCACATAACTCATTATAGTCTAATTGAGTTTGAATAGATATTAGAGTTCAGGATACCTCCTTACTAAACCCCAATGTCAAAACATATATTAAACAAACCATAACCAATCTATCCTTGGATCAATTCCAACCATTCTCAGACGAACATCACAAACTAATCATCACATAAACATTCACAAAACAACACATAAACAATATAAACTAGAAAAACACATGTGAAAAATAGTGTTAGATTTTGTTAATTTTGCCTAGCGAGACTATTCTATTCGCTCAGTGAGTAGTTCTTAAAAGTACATTCGTCTAATGATCACATAGCTCGTCCAACAAGATCATTATTGTATCTCACAGGCTTAAAATATCACGAAAGTTGCCCAACTAGACTTGTCTCGCCCAACCACTATCAAGTAAGCGAATTATTTAACTTTGGTTGCGCCCAACAAGATTATTCTTGCCTAGCGACCACTAAGTCAGTAATTCTATGACTTTGAGCTCGCCCAACAATCATATCATCATCCAACAAAGGCTAAGTCAGTAAATCCCCTGACTTTGGTTTTGATCAACGAGTCCACTTTCGTGACAACCAAGTCGGTAACTCTTTAACTTTAATCTTGTCTAACGAATATATGCTCGTCCAACTAGTCTACATAATTTTGAATAATAGGATTCTACAGATTTATGCCATACAAGCATCTACAATTCAACCTAACACTAACCATAGATGTCAAAACAACCAATTATTACATCATACACAATTAAATAATATGATTTATTTTAGATACAATTTTAATCATTTAACATAGCAACATTTCAATCACATAATCACTTAATAAAATTTAGGCTCCCTAATCCAACTCAACTCAACCAAGCAATTTAACATGCAATAATCAACACATATTATAATCTCAGCAATAAAACTATATCATACCATACAATAATCAAATTACACATCTCAAGCACCAAAAACTTAAAAGCATTATAACTAACTTTTCTTACCTAAAAGACAAATGAACTTGATATAGAGAACCCAAAAAGCCTTTTAAGTTCACAAATGTACTATCTACACCTACGAACAACACAGACCCGATTAGGACACACAATTAGAATCACTGATCAGTAGATGTTCACATGCAACAGATAAAAGAAAAGACAAAGAAAAGTTATTAAAACTCAACTTACTCAAACAGACAAAATAATTGGTCTAAATTGAAGAGTTTGTTGTAAGGACAAATCTTATGATTTCTATTCTTCAATCAGATGAGTAAGAGAAATAACTCTTAGATAAAAGTCAAAAAACTATACAAAAGTGGTTGCTACATATATATGTGTTTTAAAATAATGAAACTCATTCATAATTAAACTATTTATATTAAAATAATTTAATATTTAAATAATTAAGTCTCGTTAATTTTAAATCACTATTCCTTCTAAAATTATTTTATAAGTTTTTACATTGTGAATTGTTATAAATATTACATAAATAAAAGAGAAATTTTAGTTTGAAAATCTATATATACGAAATTAAAACAAAAGATTTCGTAAAGTAGAAGGTCAAGTTTTTGAATAAAGAATTAATTATTTAAGAACATAGATCAAGTTGCGGATCATGAGTTATAAGACCAAATTATAATTTAGCCTTTTATTTTTAATATATGCTGTATTACTCAAACATTTCAATGAAAAAATTGAGTAATTTTTTTAAAATCCTTCGTATGTACATTCCAAAGGAATATTTGGGTACCAGATACATATGTATGAAGTATGTTGGGAGGTAATAATTAAGTCTTTTGTGATTAGAAGTTAATCTATGCAACATTCTAAACTATTTTTTAAGTTATTATTAAAATGAAAACAAGTTGTCATCAAAGGGCATTTGGTCTAGTGGTATGATTCTCGCTTAGGGTGCGAGAGGTCCCGAGTTCAATTCTCGGAATGCCCCTTTTTCTTTTTATTACAAGTTAGCCCTGTGTGTCCCCCTATCTTTTATTCTCCCTTCAGAGTGGTTTAGTGAAGTTGATTTAGTGGGAAAATGCACAAACTATACCTCTTTGAGGCACCACATCGCTGCCAGAAGTAAATAACAGAAACACTACCCACTCTTTACTGTGTTGAATCCTTCTACATGTTTCATATACATACAAATGGTACAGAGATGAGAAAAAAAAAAGCAGTTGAAAAATGATTCAGCTATGAAAGATCTATAGCCTCAGACATGCCATTTCCGGTCCAGGATACTTGGGCTGGCACCACCTTCTGTGCAATCACTGGACTCCACATCTGTTTCACATGTTGCCACTTCTTCATCAACTCTATTTGATTCTGAAACTTGTTTCCCAGTTGAACTGCCACTGTCCCTCCCTTTTGGATCAATGCTAAGAAAATCAGTCAAAGATTTCTTCACAACTGCCCCTCTTTGATGGAGGTTGTTCCCATTGTTGAGTGGAGACTTCCCTCCCTTGGAAGGACTGATATGTGATGGAGAGAGGGCTGGTGTGCCTAAAGCCGATTTGTAGGGTGTGCTGGGGACAGGTACTGAGTATGGAACTGATATTCTCTGCTTGTGAGTTACTACACCAACTTTTGAGAGCGAAGAGATTTTATCTGAATGTTTGGTCAAGTCGTCCACATAGAGCACATCATCAATCCGTGCTACCAGGTTAAATGCCAAACTCTCCAGTACTCTAGAGTAGCTCTCCAGAATGGCTTTTCCAACATCCTACACATTACAAATTTGAAGGATTCAGAAAATGGACAAGACATTCAAGAAACAAAGACTAAGGACTTTACTGTTCATGCATAGAAAAATAATGATTGTGAACCTTGTTGTATTGGATTTTGCTTGTATCCAAGGTTGTCTGAGGCAGACCAGGAAACCGCTGCTTCAAGGAAAGCAAGAGGCTTTCGGCTCTCTCTGCAAACAAATCCCTCTTGTCTGCATCAACCATCAGATCCTTGACCATTTCCCATGATGATCTTGAACTAGACCTGGCACTGATGGCAGGCTTGGAGTTGATTTTCTTGCGCCAAATGTACATTGAAGCCTCGGCTCGGTTCGCAATCTCTATAGCTTGATGCTCAGAAGATAAATCAAGGCAAGCTAGCAAGCACTCTGGAGAAAAATGATCTGATGTGATATAACGATGTATAACATCCCCCAAGCTTAGTCTAGCAGTCTGCAAGAGATTTGGATTAGCAATTTGACCATTATGTTATTTTCTCTCTTGATGTTTGAAAATTTTGAATAGATAGAGATCATTATCATTCATATATCATCAATACCTTTGGAAGAGATTCCAAATAGGACTCAGGAATGTCCATTTCTGCTATAGTGATGCTGTTAATGGCCATTGCAGCCTTTAATATTTGGTTTGTACAATCACGTTTGTGCTGCAACTGCTTCCTTGAGTTTTCATGGAGACCGCAGGGAGGGACTCGTGGTACAGGAAGCCACCATTTCTCCTCCTGCCGCTTAAGTGCTTGTCGGAATGATGATGGACCATCGGCATCCGGAGCTAGAACCCCCTGGTCTACATACCAGAACTCTGTATTCACAAAACTATCTAGAATTTCCTGTGAAAATACCAGAATTTAGAATGGACTATTTCTTGAAACTGAACTAGTGATGTGCATTATTCAATGCAGTAAAACTTACAAGAAGCATATTGTCTAGTTTGCGCAGAGCAGGAAGATTGACATAAAGATCTGAGCGCGGTCGACAAGTCATGACCTGATTCACATTTCATAAACATTGTTAGGTATCATATTTATCTGCCTCTCTATCATGAAGCAATGCCAACCAAAGATA